AATCGGCACTCAACTGCGGAAGCAATGTATTTTGGGTTGACGTATGTTGGGTGGTTTCCGCGCTTTGTAGGCTACTCCGGTTACAGGCGAAAAGCACAAATAAAAGAAGAAGAAAATACAAAAAAAATAACTGTAAATATCGAACAATGTTTGGCGCATTTTATACTTTGATGTGCCCTAGCACATTTCGTGTGCTATTTTTAAATGTTTGCAGCGTTCGCACAGCAGGTGGCGTGACTGTGCCAGTGCTTGTGCCAATGCCTGTGCCTGTGCCTGTGCCTGTGACTGTGCCTGTGCCTGTGCCTGGGTCCTCAGGTCTATGAAGTGCCGACCAAGGAACGTGACCAACTAGCCATGTTGACAAACGTTGAGGCGAACGCCGACTGCGTCCACTTGAAACTGTCAATAAATCAAAGAACATTTGTCATACACACGCCCTGAACGTTGCCTCAAGATTTGCCAATCCACAGACCCAGATCCAGATCCATGCCCATACAGACAAGTGCGGAAAAAGACCTTCAGGTCTCTATCTATCTCTGTCTCTGTCTCTCTCACTCTATTGTCTTATACCTGTTGCGCAGGCGCCGCTCAGCACTGTTTATGAGGGTGCTGTTCGGTTCTGCCTTGCTCTGCTGTTTGACTTGAAGTCAGCTCAATTGATTAGATTAACGGCCCGAGATAACAACGGGCCAACTGGCGGCTGGTGGCCGGGGCAGTGACTGCTACAGTTTTGTTACTGACCACAGAGCATAGCAGACGCTGTTCGCAGCCCGGCTTGCTGCCAGAGTTCCCAGAGTTTGGCGAGTTCTCAGCCTCCATTGTCGACCACTGCAGACACATAAATCATTTTTGTTTATTAATAACGTTTTGGTTTTGCCTTTCGTCTGTTTCCTTTTTATTTTTATTTTTTCTTGTTTTCTTTTTTATTTTGGCAAGTTGTTTTGTTAGTTTTCAAAATCGATTTACAAATTTATATGCAAGTTGAGTTGGGGCCCTGCAGCTCTTTCTATAGTCTCTGCGTAGTCTTATAATGTTGCTCGTTGCTGCTCTTGTCGTTCTCTTGTAGCACATAAAAATGTTTGAAACAAAAAGAACAACATGCAGATAAAAATTTATATGTGTATTGTGTATCGACTTAAAAATGACTAAGGTCTGAGCACATCTAAAACTACATCTTCTATTTTAAATAAACAACTTCAATTTACATCAGCTGCCAAATATTAAATTTATTGTTCAATTTAATTATTAATATTGCAGTAACTCAATCTTCTATTAATAGTCTATGTCCTAAACTAATTAACTACACACATTTTTATATGTCAAATGCATATATAAAATGTAAGTGAAAAAATTTGAAATTCCTTTAGAGGAATTCAATGTAATTAAGATAGTGAATGCCCATTTTCAATTAATTTTCTAATTGGATTCATTTTAAAATAATCTCAAAAAATATGTAAATTAAAGAAACAAACAGATACAAACAGCCAGGTGGAAGAAATATTGAATGTAAAAAAGAAAATAACAAACTCAAGAAAAATAACCAAAAAATGCCGCACACAGCCTCTCAAGCATTTTTGTTTACACAAATTTGATGGTGATCAGTTGTCGATTAACTATTTCGCTGTTTCCCCGCTTTAGACGATTTAGATTTGTACTGTTTATCTGCATACATATATGCGGATCAGTCCTACCACTTGAGAAAAAATCAGATAAACGAATTGAATTGGATATAGTTAGTCAGTAGGCAGCTGAAATTATAATAATGCGCTACACATTGTGTAGGCAGAATAACAGCCACTCCACCTAGTATTTCTAAAGGTTTCTTCGGGTTTTCTTTACTAATTAATGAAGCTGAATTGAGCGGGACCCCCCACCTATGTATACATATGATCTGGTAGGCAAAGGGACCAGTAAAAGATTTCGAAACTCGCTTCATGTGGACGCGTGCACCCCCCGAGGTGTGCCCGGCCTGCGTCGCATAGGGAAAATGGTTTAATAAATTAATTACCCACGATATCATCGAAATCAAGTGGCACAAGTAGCAGTTGTTCGATGATTTTGTTAAATTATTCAAATTTTATATTTAGTTTCACTGAGCAAAGTTCATTAGCTGGAACTGTGTTTTTGTGTTTCTCTTCAAGCATTTATTTAACTTATTTTTTATAGATGTAAGAAAGTTAATTCACATATTTCATATTTCTCTTAAGTCTTCTTCTATTTTTGATTATTTTTTAAGAGCTAATTCCCTAAAACTGTATCAATTTGCTGCTTTTTTTTACTCCTACCCTCATAAGTATCTTTTGACTTATTTTAAATGGGGCATTCAGTGTTCATCATTGCTTAGGCTCCATATATATATATACATATATCTCACATTGTACGGGGTCTATTGTCAATTATATGTCGCACTAGAAATCTAAGTTTTATTAAATTGTTTCTTTGATTCTTTACGCCCAGCACACAAAGCATTGTTGTCATCTCCATCACAGACATTCTGGGCTCGATGCGTATCGTATGTTGCCCTTGTCTTTGTTAGTTTGTTATCAAGAGCAGAGTTTTATTTTCTTTATTTTATAAAAGAGAACAAGATGAAGCGGCTGAAGGCAGAGCATAGCACCGGGCAGCTCTTGTTTTAAATTAATCTTCATTAAGGTCAGCAAGACAATCACGCAAGTGGAGGGCTTTCGAGACCGCTGTGCCACAGCTGGGCATATGTTGCAAGCGTTGAATTTTGCCTGCCCCCGCCTCTGACCCGCTCATTACACAAACGCCCGTGTTGAGTGGCGCGAACTTTGATTGAATTTTCATTAATTTCTGCTGCGGTCATAACTTTTACGGCAAACATGCGCTATAAATCATAGGACTATAAAAGCATCGAGTGAAAAATAATAAAAAAAAATTTGATTTGCTCGTTTGTAGAAATTTTAACTGGAGAATGTTGTCAACTTTTCGCTTTTAATTAGTTAGTAACCAGAAAAATTTGGGTCATGTTGCGCGGGGCATAAATCAAAAATTCAGTTGTGCAAATATTTGTGCAAAAATGTAGCCTTGTGTATGCCACCTAAAAGTATGCAACAGTGCTCCACAATTGGGCGTGGCCGGAGTGGGCAACAGCACCTGGTCATGCCTGCGGCTTTGTCGGATGCCAAACACTGTGTGGCACAGCGACAGCAGCTAATAAAAATTAATTTAAAATCCACTTAATTTATTTCAATCAGCGGACTGCGAATCTCTCAACATTAACTAAGCGAATGGACTATTTTTGATGAACTTTGATTAATTTGCGACCAGTACATTAAAGAGACTCGACTTTAAGGCACCTGACTTCGATGCAATGCGTTGCTGCAACACCAGCAAACAACTACGACAAACAGCAACAACAACAACAACAGCAAATGTAACTAGTCTGGCATAACATGGCCAACAGACTGTTCAAGCTGTCCAGATTGTCCATACTGTCCAGACTGGTCCAGCCTCAGTCTACCTCTCTGGCTAACCAACCATCTTCTGCTTCGAACTTATCCAGCAGACATGTAAATTATGTTGGTTTTTGACCAGTTGGGGAATTTGCTGGCATTCCGGACTACAGACAACCCCCACACTCAACACTTAACAGTGCTAAATTTTTGCCGAACTCTTTTGCTGCTTAAAGACCTGTTCATTTTTACTTATTGTCTGCAGATATAGGTGGAAAGAGATAGCCAAATAGATACATATAACTATTTTACAATACTTTTTTGATGTGTTTTCGGGAGGATTGTGATGAACAGTAAAATCTTAGATATACTTGTGTCATATGATTTTCTCTCGACTGATAAGCATCTGATACAAAAAAAAAAAGAAAAGAATGCTATAGTTGAGAGAGCTCGACTAGAAAATACCCTGAACACAACTGTTATATTCATTAAATCGAGTATACATATGTATATATACATATACATTAATCAAAGTATGTTTTGGATCTTGATAAAATATTTGCTGTTGATTATCAATATCTCAACGTATAGTAAATATTGCGACATATGAGAAGTAGTTTTACTCAGCTGTTGATTCTGGTCGAGAATATATACACTTTGAATAGTTAGAGATGTTTCACACTTTCATACAAACAATTTCTACTATTTTTAGACACTTTTAATGGGCTCTGGGTATAAAAATCAACTGCTTCATACTTTTGGCCAGATATAGAATTTATGTGTATTTGCTTTCAGCTGGTTATCTATTTTAGAACTTAATCCAAACAAACGAATAAAATGTTATTAAGAGTTTGCTGTCATTCATTGGCGAGCAGCAAAAGCAAGATAAGATTGCTATTTTTAGTCCATAGAAACAAATGTAAATAATTTAATAGATTAGATTCTATTTAAATTGTATTCATTATCGTTGCACTTTTATTAAATTATTTGAATTGATTCAACAGATCGATTTTATATTTATGGTCATGTTGTGTATTAGATCTTTCGATTATTATAATTATTGTATTATTATTGTACACCTCAGTTATCTGAGAATGTTATAGCTATTTTAGAAGACTACCTCCGTAGTACCTCCATGCACATATAGTGTATTTCGAATGTGTAGAAAAACACTGAAATTATCTGATTATAACACCTGATATTTAAGATAATTGGGAAATCCTTTCACTTAAGATAAGATATAAGATTCATATTTTTATTGAAAAACTTATGACTTGGCATAAATATAATATTATTATTAATTTATATAAGCTGAAAACATTGCAACAAAACTGATTTTAAATTAAAAATGTTGTTATTTAATATACATCTATATGGAGGTCAACAGTTCAAAATCAATTGCCACGCAATTTTAATTAAATTAATTTGATGAGTGGGGCACACAGCAGAGTGGCAGTAAGTAAACAAGCAAATTATCAACATAAGTATGCCAAATAAAAGCACAAAAAGTATAATGATAAGAAGAACTGTACGATAAGACACCCCATATAAATAGTGGTGTTTGGTTGAATACAAACTATATTTCTGCATCGAATACCGTGCTCTCAACATGGCAACGGAACTGTGCTCAAAAGATGGCATACTTATTCGCGTTATGACAGTGTCGGACTACAAGCAAGTGAAGATCTTCATGGGCGGCAATTTCTATAACGGAGAGCCACTCTGTGCCTCTTCTGGAGAGGATGTGCAAAAATGCTATGAGAAGGAGAACGATGAGTACCACATCTCTATGATTGAGCAGGGCACCTGCTTATTGGCCACTGAGGAGAAGACTGGACGCATTGTCGGCTTGGTTCTTGCGGGTGCACAATTCCCCAGCTGCTTGGAGAAGCATCGCAAAGAGGCCGCAGCAATGGAGCCGAACACCTGGGGACTCATTGCGGTGTTCCTATCCAAAGTCGAAATCAAAGTGAATCTCTTTGAGCGTTACGCCATCTCTAAACTTCTCTACTCACATATAACCAATGTGGATGCCTCGATGCGTGGCAAAGGGCTGGGCTCACGTCTAGCTGCCGCCCTTATGGAAGTGGGTCGGACCAAGGGATTTCCCCTGATGATCGCCTACTGCTCCAGCTTCTATTCGGCCCGTCAGAAGGAGGCATTGGGCATGGAGTGCATCTATGAGCAGGCATATGCGGACTATAAGGATGACAGTGGCAAAGTAGTGTTCAAGCCACCTGCACCACATACCCACTTGCGCGTTATGGTCATTAAGCTGTAAGCTTTTGATTATATGTTATGTTATCGAGCTCTTAAGTGATAATGATATACCTGTTGAAAATGTGTCTGGATTGTTGGTCTACCAGGAAATAGAACCAGTTATTATGTCAGCTACTTTTTTGAAAGATTGGCCGATTTGAAGGTTAAAAAAATGCTATGAAGGCTCGACTGTTGGTGTTCTTAAAAACTGTAGTGCAATGTAGATATCAAAATTAATTAATATATACATAAATTAATAGTGAACGCTAATCATCTAATGCATTATTCAAAGCTATCAAACAATTAAATAATTAATGAATGAGCTTTTTAATAATATAATTACATATATAATACGTAATCAAAGTGCAAATCAAAGTGTAAGAGCAATTGAAATCAATTTGTTCCATTATTACGTAGGCAAGCATTATTATTAATTTTAATAAATAGTTGGATTATTGATGACGTAAACTAAATATTACTCAATCAATACTTATAGGTTTTTACGTTGGAGCTTAAATTGAAAGTATTTGTAATTTGCCTGCATTCACATATTCTGTGCTTTAGCATACTGAATGGAAAAGTTTTAACTAAATACACAAAGAAAAAATGTTTTTTTTCAGACAATTTCACACTCACTACACAAATTCACCAACTCAAGCACTTTTCTTTTATGATAAAAAGTAATTATGAAATGGGATATAATGCCCAGATATAAAACCATGACTGGTAAATAAATTCACTTGATCATTATTATCTGTGGGCAGCAGCGGAGGCGATTAAGTGCGTAAGTTACTCACTACCGACTATATCAAAACATTTTGTGTTTACGTCTGGCAAAAACCGGATTGTGTTTTTCTCTATTCCATTGTTTTGCGATAAGCTTATACGTGGAATTCTCTCCAACTGCACTCAGTCAACCGGCGAAGCTCGTAATATGACGACGATTGTGTGTGAAATGAAATCAAGTCACATCGATGAGGCAAGACTCTTTCTAGCCGAGCATTTCAACAAGCATGAACCCCTACTGCAGACACCCGGCATCCAGCTACCGAAAGCGTCACCCGATCCGAAGAGGAGAGAGTATCACGAATCGGTTATTCGGCAGGGTTGTTCGCTGATTGTCGTCGATCAGAGCAACGATGATCGCATTGTGGGCGTGGCCTATGCTGGAGTGCTCAATGCCAGCGAACTAGAGCAGAATTGGCTTGAATTGAGCGAGAAGCGGCGCACGCAGCCAATGGAGCATATCGAATACTTTCTGTGCAACATCAAAAGGAACGCTCGATTGTTTCAGCAATATGGTGTAACCGATGCCCTCTATCTAAAAATGATAGCAGTGGATTCCTCAATGCGTCGTCAAGGTCTTGGTCGCCGTTTGGTAACTGCTCTGATCGATGTAGGTCGGACCAAGGGATTCCCTTTGCTGGTGGCAACCTGCACTGGCCTCTACTCGACCCGACTGATGGCATCTCTGGGCATGGAGTGCGTGCACTCGGAAGACTATGTTGCCTTCAAGGACGAGGATGGTAATGTGGTGCTCAAGCCACCGGCACCTCACACAAAGGCTAGTGTTATGGCGTTGAAATTGTAGACAATTTAAATGGAAATTCAATCAAATTCGGTTCAAATAATGCACAAAAATTGTACAAATTACCTTGTAATAAAACCAGGATCTTATTAATTTTATAAATAAATTGCAAATATATTTCTCGTGATTTTTCCTACATTTTCCTGTAATCTTCCCAAATAAAATATGCTAGAGATAGTGCCAGGCCGTAGCACGCTTTTCACAATTAATTCTAACCGATATCAGTTTTTTACAATTATTTGCGCAATCAGCTGAGTATTTGTAAGACCAAGTTCAACTTGATATTTTTGTAGTCTTTATTTGTATTATCGCGAAAAATATGTATGGGAGCTGTAACCGTTTGTAGTCTTATCAGTTAAATTGCTTTATCGCTTACATTTTGCGATTCGTACACAGAAAAACATTTTCTTTTTTAATCAATTTAATGAGAAAAAAAATATATTTTTATAATAATTTATTCCAGTAGGAAAGATAACGACATTTATGATTTATTAATTAAAAAATAAATATTTATTTGAAATGGTTGTTAATAGAGATATTTGGCAATGTTGTTATGATCAACTGATCTACTAAATTAATGCAGACTAATTTTTTCTATACAATTTGATTATAATAATCATGTAAATTTCTCAGCTTGCCACTTGGTCATACAAAGTGTTTACAGTGTATAAATGATGCCGTACGTGCCACAATCTCAAGTGCACATAAAAAAGTTTTTGGCGATAAGCTCACTTGGAAGCTCGCTGGAACTTCAGCAAGTAGATTTAGTTAGTCGCGGATACTTGCAACATGCAGACGATTGTGCGTGAAATGAAACTGGATGATATCGATGAGGTGACTATCTTTCTGCGAGATCATTTCTTCGGAAGTGAGCCACTAATGCAGACACTGGGCGATCATCAAATAGACTATGACGATGCCAAGAGGAGGAAATCTCGATTATCGCTCATTGCACAGGGCACTTCATTGGTTGCCATTGAAGCCGGTCGCTTTGTGGGTGTGGCATTTGCTGGAGTAATACACCCAAGCGATCTGGAGGAGAGTTGGAGCGAAGCCAATGAGCATAAGCCGAAACTTCTAATCGAACACATTGACTACTTTCTGTCCGACCTTGCACGCAGTGCTCGATTCTTTGAACGTTACGGAGTAGTAGATGCTCTGTATTTGAGTGTTCTAGCAGTCGATGCCACTGTGCGTCGCCAAGGACTGGGACGGTGTCTGGTTACTGCCCTGTTAGACGTGGGTCGGGCCAAGAGACTTCCCCTGCTGGTAACCACCTGCACCAGCCTCTACTCGAAGCGAGTGATGGATGCTCTTGGCATGGAGTGTGTGCGGTCTGAGCGCTATAAAGATTATGAAGATGAGGATGGAAATGTGGTGATTCAACCCCCTGCACCACATACGGAGTGCACTGTTATGGCTATTAAGTTGTAAGGCATGACTAGCATAAACATAAACATATATATACATTTAAAATAAATTTAAAAAATCGATATGTTTTAAATAAAATTACTCGAAAGTTTATTTTTAGACCTTTGCTTATTTAAGACTGAAGCAGATCTATTTTCAGTGAATTAGTCTTGAAAAATTGAAGAAATCACTTAATATTTTAATGATAATATTAATATTTGTTCCAATCCCATTGGAGAATTATCTTTCTATAATTGTAGATTACATTTCTTGTTTTACAGATAAGCGATGATTAGATTACTACTAAAGGGTATTTCATCTTCGGGATTCTAAACTCTTCGATATTACTTTGTATATAAAGAAGAAGATGTTAATGGTGTCCTCAAACCACAAGTAGCACAAGTACAGAAACAAGTATGATTATAGAAGTTTCTAAATTTTAGATTAACTCAAATAATGAAGCCACTTGAAAATAATTTCAACCTGTGACTATTATAAGAGGCTATACATTGTATTTGTGGAAGAGCCACTGATCTTATTAATTATATATCGATCTTATTAATTTTATATATAAATTGCAAATATATTTCTCGTGATTTTTCCTACACTTTCCTGCAATCTTCCCAAATAAAATATGCTAGAGATAGTGCCAGGCCGTAACACGCTTTTCACAATTAATTCTAACCGATATCAGTTTTTTACAATTATTTGCGCAATCAGCTGAGTATTTGTAAGACCAAGTTCAACTTGATATTTTGTAGTCTTTATTTGTATTATCGCGAAAAATATGTATGGGAGCTGTAACCGTTTGTAGTCTTATCAGTTAAATTGCTTTATCGCTTACATTTTGCGATTCGTACACAGAAAAACATTTTCTTTTTTAATCAATTTAATGAGAAAAAAAATATATTTTTATAATAATTTATTCCAGTAGGAAAGATAACGACATTTATGATTTATTAATTAAAAAATAAATATTTATTTGAAATGGTTGTTAATAGAGATATTTGGCAATGTTGTTATGATCAACTGATCTACTAAATTAATGCAGACTAATTTTTTCTATACAATTTGATTATAATAATCATGTAAATTTCTCAGCTTGCCACTTGGTCATACAAAGTGTTTACAGTGTATAAATGATGCCGTACGTGCCACAATCTCAAGTGCACATAAAAAAGTTTTTGGCGATAAGCTCACTTGGAAGCTCGCTGGAACTTCAGCAAGTAGATTTAGTTAGTCGCGGATACTTGCAACATGCAGACGATTGTGCGTGAAATGAAACTGGATGATATCGATGAGGTGACTATCTTTCTGCGAGATCATTTCTACGGAAATGAGCCACTAATGCAGACACCGGGCGATCATCAAATAGACTATGACGATGCCAAGAGGAGGAAGTACCGATTATCGCTCATTGCACAGGGCACTTCATTGGTTGCCATTGAAGCCGGTCGCTTTGTGGGTGTGGCATTTGCTGGAGTAATACACCCAAGCGATCTGGAGGAGAGTTGGAGCGAAGCCAATGAGCATAAGCCGAAACTTCTAATCGAACACATTCACTACTTTCTGTCCGACCTTGAACGCAGTGCTCGATTCTTTGAACGTTACGGAGTAGTAGATGCTCTGTATTTGAGTGTTCTAGCAGTCGATGCCACTGTGCGTCGCCAAGGACTGGGACGGTGTCTGGTTACTGCCCTGTTAGACGTGGGTCGGGCCAAGAGACTTCCCCTGCTGGTAACCTCATGCACCAGCCTCTACTCGAAGCGAGTGATGGATGCTCTTGGCATGGAGTGTGTGCGGTCTGAGCGCTATAAAGATTATGAAGATGAGGATGGAAATGTGGTGATTCAACCCCCTGCACCACATACGGAGTGCACTGTTATGGCTATTAAGTTGTAAGGCATGACTAGCATAAACATAAACATATATATACATTTAAAATAAATTTAAAAAATCGATATGTTTTAAATAAAATTACTCGAAAGTTTATTTTTAGACCTTTGCTTATTTAAGACTGAAGCAGATCTATTTTCAGTGAATTAGTCTTGAAAAATTGAAGAAATCACTTAATATTTTAATGATAATATTAATATTTGTTCCAATCCCATTGGAGAATTATCTTTCTATAATTGTAGATTACATTTCTTGTTTTACAGATAAGCGATGATTAGATTACTACTAAAGGGTATTTCATCTTCGGGATTCTAAACTCTTCGATATTACTTTGTATATAAAGAAGAAGATGTTAATGGTGTCCTCAAACCACAAGTAGCACAAGTACAGAAACAAGTATGATTATAGAAGTTTCTAAATTTTAGATTAACTCAAATAATGAAGCCACTTGAAAATAATTTCAACCTGTGACTATTATAAGAGGCTATACATTGTATTTGTGGAAGAGCCACTTAGAAACTACTAAGTTAGTAGACTTTCTTATCTGCATTGTCGGAAAGATAGTGAGGCCTCAATGTTGATTATCATCGAAATGTTTGTTACTATCGCTAACTTATCTGCTGTTATTCATTAACGAAAATCTTCAACTTGCTATCCCCTGTCCTTTTAAATAACATAAGATAAGATAAAATAGACAAAAGATAATTCAAACAAATAAATTCACATGTTTAAATTGAATGCAATTGAATTTCTTATATTTTTTGTTATATTACATCATTGTTTTGCCTTAGTAAATTGATTACAATTAATTATATATGTGCATGGTTATTGATCTGAGCTGAATATTTAGTCAGCACTGCTACAAGCACTGTTCGTATCATATAAAAATAAATTAAATAAAAAATTAATGTTTTTATACATAAATGAATTAAAAGTTACTGCAAATAAATAAATAGATGATTACAATTTCTTTCATAGCTTGCCAGTAAATCAAATTAATGTATAACGTTGTTGCATGCATTTTTTACTCTTTTTCCATCACCCCCTCCCATCTTAGCCCATCCCATTTTACCCCATCCCCTGAGACGCTCCCATGTAAGCAGCCCGCTGCTTACATGCAAAATGCAGGTCATTATTGCAACGTTCCCATGTTGCTGCACCCCCAGGGCTCTGGCCACCCTTTCGTGTTCGATGCACGCACTCATTAACCAGTTGACAACAACAAAGTCACAGCCCTTCCCCCTAAACACTCCCCCTACCCCTACCCCTTCGCCTGCTAATGCTTCCCTCTTTATCGCCTTGACCGTAGACAACTTTGTAGTCAATTTGTTTGTGTTTCTCTTATCGAATGGTTTACGGCTGACTTTAAAATGCATAAATGACTTTTTATTGATTTAGTTTTATATATTTAATTCTCGTAACAGTTTTTCGACGTATTCTGTGTTTTTATGGCAATTTAATTAGATTAAAAAGCAATAAAAATTCTTTCAAATTGATTTAACCTTGGGATTTGTTGCTAAACGTTCTTTTATTTTTTATATATCTTTCGGTAATTATTTGAAATTATTGACATTTAATTTGTTGCGTCATTTGGTAAGATTTTAAAGTCGTCATCAAAGTCGAACTTTATTGAAATCGATTTGCTGGCCGAAGGGAGGAGCAGCAACAAAAAGTTGTTGCCATTTTCAGTGAGTTTAATTTTCGATTTTTATTTTCGTGTTGATGACACAAACACACACACACACAGACACCCACACACACACAGGCGAACGAAAGAGGCTCGTGCGGCACTTGGGCTGACTAATGGAGTGGGGGTTTCTGGGGTGGGAGGGTTGGTTGGTCTGTGTTGGTACGTGACCCGCTTAACAAATTGGCGCGTGTGCGTCCCCAACTTGAGTACAAGTCCAATGTGAAAACAACCCCCATCCACAATGTCCAATCCCACCCCTTGTCGAACGTCAATTCCGTTTTAAACTGCTCTTTATAGTTATTGCAGTTTTATCTCTTGACCATTTGGAAAGTCACTTTTGCTCATTTTAATTAAAACCAAATGCATTTGCACTTCACGTGAGTTTTGGGCGTGTCGCATACCACAAGTCTCCTATCACTTGCCCCTTGGCTGACCTTGCCATTAGTTGTTTTTATCCCGTGCTTTCCCACGCAACTCGCTTAGCTGTTAACTGGTATTTTCCGCCAACTTGTCTGTTTAATATTCATAAGCAACTTTTTTTTTGGTTTTTTTTTTTCTTAGAAATTTTCACGCTCATTTGCTTGGGTCAACAGTTGCGTATTGCGTACTGTGTATTTAATAGTCAACTCGATTTCGACGACTCAAATTTGTCAATGCTTTTAAGCCGCCAATTAGCATGATCCGAAGGTTGAAAACTGAGGAAACAATCAACAGATGAAGTAACTGTTGAATGGAGCTCATTTAAATAGAGTTAAAAAATGCAGTCGAGAGCTGTTCGGATTAGCCACAGTCAATAATTAATAACAAATAATCTTGAAAAGCTTTCTCATCGACTGTCATCGAGTGAAACAATGCTAATTTATTGACCATACTGATCATCAAGCCGTAAGTTTTATTATTTAAATTACATTGATTTTAGTAATTTTTTTTTTATTAATTTTTAATAATAGTAGAATTTATAGGCATTTTTTAATATTAAAATAATATTGGTATTATTTTTTTTTTTTTTATATTAATTTTCTATTAAGCTATTAAAATTATAATTTGTAATAATTTGTATGATGGACGTTTATAAATACAATAATTCTAATATAATAATAATATTAATATTTCATATTTGCTTATGGTATATTTAAGATGATTCCAATTCAGTTCTTATTAATATATGTTTTTCCTTAAGCAGGACTCTGAGTACCTCAAGGTAATGTAGATATACATATATAGTTCAGGCAATTATACCAAGTATTGTAATTATCGTAAACTTTGATTAATGAGTTTCAAGTATCATCTTATGATTGATATGAAATATGATTACAATATAGTATATCAATATATTGTAATTATACCGACTTTATATGAAATTTGTTTGTCAGACCAATATATTAGCACCTAAGAAGGATAATGCAAAGCTAATAACAGGAATATCCCCTATATCTATACGGAACTTAAGTCACTTCTTAATCCAGTCCCAATGCTTCCCAGGGAGTGACTTTAAATTACAATCCACGCACAAAAAATATACACAAAATAAAATAAGAGCGGTTGGGAATGGTGGAAAGACGGTTTTATTTTCACATAATTAAATTGACATTAGACATCGTTTAACTTATCTAATTCAGTTTAATGACCATAAGCGTGCGTTGTGTGCGCTGTGAGTTTATTTCACTGGGTGGCGGCAAATTTTCAAGGGTCCAAGTCAAAATTGAATTTAGATAAAGTTTTTGCCAGCAAATAAGTAAACACCACAAAAAAGGGAGGAAGAAATAAAAAAAGATAAACCCAAAAGTAAGTAAACTGAATTAAAAGTTCGTTACAAGTTTTATTATATTTTATTGTGCGGGTTAAGCTTACCTAGCAAAAGGTTACTTCAATTAATTCGGCCGATTCTTATTGGGCACACGCTCTTTCTATATATATATATGTATATATATACATATATGTATATATATATATATTCACATGCTGTATATATGTATTTTTATGTGGCAGTATTTTTTTCTTTTTGTGAAATACATTTCTCATGAAATTTTAATAAATTTGTGTTGCTCTGTCGACGGCGGCTGCGGCGCCCCACGCACACATGTGCAACATGGGGCACACACACACACACACAGAGGCAAACGCGCACACGCACACGAGTCGACTGTTGCACAAATGTAACACACACTAATTGGCAGTCCCACACACACACACACACACACACACGAACACACACACACAGGCACCCTTACACCCACACCAACACACGCACACACACACACACAGATGGAAAAGTCGCGAGTACGTGAATTGAAGCCAGTAGAGGCACAGCTGGACGATGAAAACGCCGCCAATTTCAATTGCGCGACACGTTACTCCAGCAAAAGTTTCGCAACGACTACCGTTAGCCGACAACTGGCGCTGCCCCAACGATTGCCGCAATGTCATCCACAGGCGCACATATACACACACACACACACACATACAGCATACAGTTACAGCTGCTCGCACACATGCGAAAACGAATGGACGTAGAACATTTTGCCATTTCCTTGCGACGTTTCCTGCTCAGCGAGAGAGAAGCGTGAGTGAGTGAGTGAGAGGGAGAGAGAGAGAGAGAGTAGCAAAGAGCGAAAGAGGAGCTGCTGAAGAGCGGTTCCAAGTATTGTCATCTAACAGTGTGTGTGTGTGTGTGTGTGTGGGGAGCCAAGGCGAGTGGGGGAGTCGTTGGCTTGCACCTGTATGCGACTCTTTTACCGTTCGGCTCGTTAAAAAGCAGCGCGCAACTCAACGAAGCCCACCACAGAGAGAGAGAGAGAGAGAGAGAGAGAGTGAGAGAGAGAGTGAATAAAATCAAGAGAGTGCGAGAGAGCGGGGGCGAATGAGCGTAACCAAAGAGCGACAAAGTTGTTGCATGTGGAACGCATTCGCAAGTGTTTGTGGTGGCATTGAATAGTGCAGGTGCACAGGTAAATTTTCTTATTTATATTTTTTAAAAATGCGTTCAAAAAATTACAGCAAATTGTTATAAATTTATTTTTAAATAAATATGAAAAGTAAAAAAAAAAAATCGACACGATTGCAGCAAAACTTATTGTTTAATTTTCACATGTTGTACATTTTTCTACCTGCCACATTAAATATTTAATATTATTGATTACATTTGGCGCCTACGTAGAAAAAACAAAAACAAAACTTTACGTTACATTTGTATTTACTTTGAATTGAGTTAAAGAGCGGAATGTTTGTGCTCTTTGTAGTGGTTGGTTGCTCTTCTCGCTCTTGCTGTGCTATGCTGCGCTGTTTCATTGCCAAACTGTTGCGTATAAGACGGACAATTGAGCTAAGCGGAACGTGGCGTGTGAAACTCAAGAGAGCATTTGATAAATATAAAGAGCGTTTGCTCAGAACAGCTGCCAGCAGCTGCCTGTTGATGAGCATTTAACGCAGCACGCAAACTTCTTATTCGGTATTTGAATTGTTGGGAGGGAGCTGTTTGAAGGAGTTTGCTCTGCAAAAAATAATTTAAAAAAGAAATGTTTTATTAATATTTAATTTTTTTTACCTTGTTGTGCTTAAGTTTTCTTTCATTTCTTATTTAATTTTTATTTTGTATTCAAAATACGAATTCATATTATAATATTGAATGTCTTTTTTATATTTAACATTAATTATTTTTATTTATTTTTATTAACTTTATGTCTTAAGTTCTTTTAAAATTATTAGTTTTTAGTTTTGAGTTTGTGTTTCTAAAACTATTCTTAATATTTATATATTTAAGTTTTGATAAATTTTACTATTAATAAATAAATTGCCTTATTTATTATAAATAATATACACAACACATAAATAATGAAGAATAAATAAGAAATATAAATAAGAAAGAATGATGAACAGGAAAAATATAGAAATTATTATTCAAAAATTATAATTTCTGTTTTCAATTAATAATAATAAATAAATATCAAGATTTTGTATTAATTTATTAAATGAGCAGTAGGGTAATTTTATTATATTTATATGACATAAGAAATAATGTTATTTATTCATTAGTTAACAGTAGCATGAGTTTCTCTCCAGGAAGCCGAGCTCTGCCCTTCTCCAAATTACTTGAAAATGTGCTCGTAAAAATGTCAGAAATATTACCAAACTTGGGTTCTACGCACTACTCGAGTACTCTTGAGCAGTGAACAAAATTCTAAACCGAACATTGAGTAACTTTTTTTCACCTGCTACACTCTCTGCGTATGTCGCAGCAATTAGGGCCAACTGAGGGGGGTCTGCCTAAGTGCAACTACCTGTCCGCTCCCCTCCCCTCCCTCTCTTGGGGAGAGATAACACATTGTGGTAATCCCCTGCGACGGCGACGTTGCCAAACATTCAATCAAATGCTGTCAAAAGTTGCAGCGCCAAAAGCTTAGCGACTCAAAATTCAAAGACACGCACACAAAATGTTTCCAATTGTTTTCACTGCAAACAGAAACACAAAATAACAAAAACAAAAAGTGCATATCAATGTGTTGACTCAATAATAACAACGAAATATTATCAATGAAAAAAGACGGAGGCACTTCTTTATTTTATATATATATATATATATCTATTTTTTTTTTTGCATTCTGCTTGATTTCTGTTTGCTCAATTGCTCAATGGGAAAACTTTCGATGAGTTTTCTGCACGATCTCAGACTGATAAGGGATTATTATGATATGTCAAATGCCAGCGGATTAGTCTGTAAAGTTTTCAATGATGGCATTTGAAAGATTTCTTTCATATCCTTATTTTTGTAAGCCAAAGCAAATGGTTTGAGCTGCACTAAATAAACGATTAATAATTTCAGCTTGAGAAACCATATTAAAATAAAAAAGTAAACATTAAAAGTTAAATATTTTTATTATTGGCGATAATTTATGTTAAGCCATAAATCATTTAAAATATTCATCTATATTTACTTTTAATGATTGCAAAGAGGCTCAGCTAATTTTAACATCTGCTTTTTGAGTTCAAAGAACGCTTGATATAAATTTTAAAACTCATTTTACATATTTTTGCATGCTTGCCTAAGAAACTTAATTTTGTTTGCGACACGTGAACAATCAAAAGGAAATCAAATTTATTATTGAAAAATGTTGTACTCTTTGTATTTACATTCAACAGTTTAATTATTCTGCACATTTTTATTGGTGCACTTAATTTTATGTGTTTACACTTCACAGTTTAATTATTCCACCTATTTTTAATTGGCAGAAAAAAAAAGGACTGAAATTCTGAGTCTCGTCGCTTAAATGTGCTCAAAACGTGCAAAACGAGTTTTGAATTTGGAATTAGTTCTTTGCGCAGTGATTTAGTCGATAATGTAGATTAACTTTAGGTTTGTTTTATTTTTTATTATTTTTTTTTGGCTTGCCCGTCTACGGCACTGTCTGATGAATAACCAATGATTGGAACTGAGGTACAAATAGAAAAGCAATCGTGGAAACAAATGACCTTGGCACAATCTGCGTTGGCTGACCCTTAGTTCAAGGATTTTCCAACGTCTGGTATTTACCATTTTTTATTCTTATTTTTTATTTTTGCGTCCCAAAACAATTAGTCGAAATGATTTGTAAAACGCACCAAATCCACAAAAAAAAAATAATGGCAGCAACACCTACAACAAAACCCAAAGATCTGGGGCTTAACAGCCATGACTTGACAAAAATCTGCCGCAGACACAACCACATCAAAGTGCCACATGTGACCAATGGAAAAAGAAAAACGAAAAGGAAATATGGAAAAGAGGGAATCAAATTCTAAAGAGCTCATATCTGCCCATCTAACTGCATGTGTGTTTGTGTATTTGTGTGTTTGTGTGGGTTGTGTGGCAGCCTTAAAGTCATGACATCAAAGTGTTTTCTGACATTTATGAAGAAACGCGCCAGGCGAAAAGTGTTGGAAAATCAATAAGAGCCAAAACCGAACTGGCAAAAGAAAAGAAATAAGGGAAAACAAAATACACCGCTGCCAACTGACGTGGCAAACTATTTTACACCTGTGCTGTCGCCCTGTCAGAGGCCTGAAAAATACAAAGTAGAAAAAGAAATAACAAGAAGAAGAAAAGCAACAAGAAACAGCAAAAAAAAAAAAAAATAGAAAAAAACAAAACAAATAGAAAAGCGCTTAAAGTCATGCACCAGAATAAAGGCGAGCGTTGCACGGGTCTCGAGGCAGGCAGCCTAATGAAGATATTAAGTGCTCGCTCCTACGCCAGCCACACTCTCACTGAGTACAGTGTGGGAGGGAGGGAGGGAGGGAGGGGAACGTGAAAGGTTTCTAATAACCTGACAACCCTGACAGTTATAATAAGGCAAGCTGTCATAAGCTGTTTTCAGGCTCGATTGAGTGGGCCCCTCGCTACAACTGTTCAAGTTTTCAAGTTTTCACCACATTGCACATGAGCCACATTCGGTTGCAGTTCAGTTTGTTTAGTCGGTGGTGGTGGTGGTGGTGCCTGCTAAGCTTATCGCCAAACTATGCAAAAATTGCTGTCAATATTTCAATCAAAACTGACGCAGCGTGTGAAATTTCTGTTCCTATATGCCTCAGTGTATGTGTGTGTGTGTGTGTGTGTCTTGAGTGTGTGCGCTGTGTTTTGTGTGTGTGTGTGTGTGTGTGTGTGTGTGTGAAAGAGAGGTTTGTAGACGGAAATTAAACGGCAGCTGCCACACAGCTCAAAGACAGTCAGCCACATGAATGTGTATCGAGGGCCAATCAAGAAGTAGCTTCCAAGATCTGCACAGATGTGAAACTCTGATTCAATTCAATTCAATTTCTTGCTTATCAAGTTGCATTCTAATCGATTTTGTTATTATAATCAGTTTATAATCTCAACTATTTCAAACAACAAGTTGGAGATAGCTTGACTAGCAGATACCCCTTAGCTGTCATACGCTGAACACATACCCGATTAGACAGATCTATACTTAAAATGTT